CAACAATGTTGTGTGACAACTAACTTTGATAGGTCTAGTTCTTCTCAGCAATGCATGGATCTAAGACATCTCCAAAAGTCTCATGATGGAAAATGCTATCCACATCCAGAGAAAGAACTACGGAGTTTGAATGTAGATCGAAGCATACTATTTACTTTTTTTTTTTCTGTTTTGTTTTGTTTCTTCTTTCTTGTGGTTCCTCCTATTGGTTCTAATTCTTCTTTACAACATGACTAATGTGAAAGTATGTTTAATAGGAATATGTATGTAGAGCTTATATCAGATTGCACTCTGTCTTGGGGAGGGAGGATGGGAGGGAAAGGGAGAAGATTTAAAACTCAAAAGCTTATGGAAGTGAATGTTGAAAATGAAAAATAAATTAATATTTAAAAAATCAAGTAATGAGAGAGAATGAATATTATGAGAGGCTGAACCTATTCTAATGAACTTTGATTATGTAATTTACTTCAAAATTACCCTTAGGCTTGGGCAATCTAATAAAAAAATTTATCCTGTTGAAACCTGAGTAGAACACAATAGGATTAAATTCCTTATAAAATTGAGTGGGGTCTGACCAAGATCAAGAGAGCTAATTCAATCTCATTATCAGTAATGTCTTTCAAGAGACTATACTTTGAAATGAGGACTATGGAAAAAGGAGAAACTCTGGATCTCCCCAAATCATTGTTTTTTAATAATCATTTCTCTCACAGTATCACACTTGGCTTGTCTACTTGTGATCATCCTGACCAGCCCACCTCACTTTCACTATGTAATAAACTCAAATCTTTTTCCATAATCTATGTCCTTGATTATATCATTTATGCCACTTGAATGCCACTCATCATAAGTAATGTCCTGCAGCCTACCACTATTTGTCGTTCCTTGGGGCACATGACATCTTTATTCTTCTGAGATCACAGTGTTCTAGAATTCACAGCTAGATAGCACCACTGGGAGAGAGAATGTGGTGTTAGAAGGGTGTTGTTTTGTTTTGGCTGGTTATAGCTTGGGATCAAAAGCACTGCTCCACTTTTCCAGTGCTGTATAGGCCAGTCTTTTCCTTCCTGTTCAGTTCTGGGCCCTACTTATTATACATATGTAACACTTATTCAAGAATAACTCAGTGGAATACATTGTTGGTGGAACTGAGAATTGGTGCAGCTATTCTGGAAAACAATCTGGACTATGATCCCAACCTTATCAAACTATGCATACCCTTTGACCTAGAGAAAGAGATCAGACAAAGAGGAAAAGGACCCAAAAGTACAAAAATATTTGTAACAGCTCTTTTTATTGTAGACCCAAACTGAAAACTAAGGAGGTGCCCACCTATTAGGAGTAGCTGAAACAAATTGTGTCATATGAAAGTAATGAACTATTATTGTGCAATAAGAAATGATTAAATGGATAGGTTTAGAGGAAAGTGGGAAGATCTCAAAAAACTAATGCAGATTAAAGTGAGCAGAAATAGAATAATTTACATAATGGCAACATTATAGAGACAAATAACATCAAAAGACTTAAGAACTTCAATTAATTGGATGATTAACCATGAGTCTTAGTGGACTGAAGATGAATCACACTGTCTGTCTCCGGCTAGGGAAGTAGACTTAAAAATCTGGAATGAGACATGAATATTTGGATGTGGCCAATATGAAAATGTGTTTTGTTGGACTATGTATACTTAGGGGAGGGGATGGCAGGTAGTGGGAGAGAAAGGTAAGTCCTCGTAAAAAAAAATTTTTTTTAAATAATTTTCCAACAAAAAACCTAACTCAATGGGTTTTCCTTAGTTGGCTGCTCATGCAATTGCATGTTGTAATTTGGTTTGTTTTCCCAGTGTGGATAGTGAAAATGATTCTTTTGATAACTCTAGACTTCACTGAGGAGGCTGTAAAGTATTTGAGCCTCAGCATATTTACTACAATGCTATTTGTGAACAAGAATTCTAGAGAACTTTTGATGGAGCCTTTATTCTGTTCAGATTCTGTAAGTCTTGGTTGTTAACTATTTTGATATAGAAAGTAAAAGAGTACTTGCTTTCAAATTCCAAAAGCATTTATTAAACACTTTCTATTTACTTATTGTTAGAAAAATCTGAAACAAAAATCTACTACATAAGTGAGTGAAGGAAAGCCTTTATTACACTCCTCAAGAGAGAAGCGGGCACAACGCACTTTAGTAGCACCTTGGTGCTGGTTCAGTGGTACAATCAATTTTTTTAAACTGCTAGTAAGATCCATACTCCACCTGCCAGTGCTATGATTGGTCTAGTTCATCTGAGTTATACTCTTCCTGGACAGCCCATGGCATGTTCTTCCATGTTCCATTAACTCCACCTACTTCATGGGTCCCATGTTCAAAATGGTGGCTATCTCTGACCTCAGGGTGTATCAGTTAATATTTAATATTAAGCAAGTGCAGTGGAGAAAAGCCTTTGCCCTTTCGAGGCTTTGTCCTTGAACCCGACTGGTTGCAACAGGTTTAGCCTCCAGGGCTTTCTTAAGGAACTAGTCATTTGAGGAATGTTTGGGGCACTTTCTGATTGGTTGAAGGACTATCCACAAGATCTTGTAAGTCCTCAAAATCTCCTTGTTCTGTTGTGGAAGACTAACTCCTTAATCCTTTCTTACATTTATCTATTTATCTACACACACATATATGTATTTTCTCTTTATAATATACACATTTAAGTGACAATAGATCCCCTTATTTTTTAGATGTGGAAACTGGGGGAAGAATTAAAATGTTTTGTGAGAAATATCCAATACATGAGTTAAATGTTTTATTCATAAATCACTATAAATTCAGTTTCCTGATTTGAAAATAAGGGGTCTCTTGTGTATTTCTAAGGTACTTCCAGGTCTAAGTCCTATTTTGATAATATCCTATAATATTAAGATTAAAGGTCTTTTCCACCACAAACCCTAATGCATTGTGGTCCATTCCAATCCTTTTTTTTTTTAAGGACAGAGTTCACACCTATTCTGTCCTTATGAGGGAGGTACTAGTGGATTGGTGTGCCGGGTCGCGGCCGTGCACTCTCCTCCTAACAGGAGCAGGCTGCCAGGGTCACACCTACCAGTCTTCGGAGCCCACCTGGATAAACATAGAGACCAGCCGATCAGGAGGCGCAAGCACTCGAACTTTACTCAGAGACCATCACAGCAAGGCCAAGCAGGAAAGCAAGAGCAGGAGCAAGGGAGCAGGAGCAAGAGAGCGCTCCGATCCCTACCTCCCTTATATACCTTCCTAGCCCCTCCTCCTCAGCCTGCCTACTAGTGATTGGTTGTAGGATCAGATACTGGAAGGGGATGTCTGGGGTTAGCACTGCACCAAGGGACAGGACATGACAAAGGAAGCTAGTTCTCTGCCGTCCCACTCCCACGTGGCACAGCCCCCTGCCTCAGGAGCACAAGCTCTGGTTACTTCCTAATATCCTGTCCCTGCCCCATCTTGCCACAACCCCCAAGTGGCATGTAGCCAACATCAGACAATCCCTCACACCTGCCCCATCTTGCCACAACCCCCACGTGGCACGTAGCCAACATCAGACAATCCCTCACAGATTGGCAATAAACATGACAAGGAATTTAAGTTATTATTTGTCCTTCATTCTCAAAGAGGACCATGACATCAGGAAGGTGATGTCACGACTTGCAAGTTAATTGGATTTAAGTGAGGGAGGGTTATGCAAAGTCACCAGCCTCTCTCTCCTCTGGAGCCATCTGGGTCCAATGGCAAGAAATAGATCAGGATGACTGGAGATGGTCCTGGATGCAGTGGGCCTCGGCCTTTTAAAGTTAAGTTCTGTTCCAGGTCTCAGTTTAACTGAGGCAATGCCCATTCAGTGGTTAAGGCTAGGTAAGAAATGGGGCAGAGAATGGCCTCTTTTACCTAGTCAAAAAATCAAATCAAATCAAATCAATCTGGGAGGGAAGACCCTCAGGGTTTCTGGCCAAAACAGAAACAACTGCTATTTACACTCACTCTGAACCATCAGAATCCAAACAATGACCAAGTAACGCCTGAGCTGGGACTATTGTTGGCCAATCAACGAGAGCCAGAGTTATGTGGGATTTTTAAGGCATGGTCCTTAAGAAAGCAATCTAACCATTAAATCTGAAGATTGCCCTCTATTCCAGGTTTCAGCCATCAAAGTTTATATTCCTTGCAGATCAAAGCATATTATTTGCTCTTTTGTTTTGTTTTGTTTCTTCTTCCTTGTGGTTCTTCCTATTGGTTGTACTTCTTCTTTACAACATGACTAATGTGAAAGTATGTTTAATATAAATGTAAAAAAGATTTTTATATTCCTTTGTGCAGCACACCAGCAGGTAAGGGTATAGGTACCCTCTGTGGACAGAGGAAGAGGAGGGAGCCAAGGAATTTAACTACTATTCCTTGAACGCATTACCTCTTCATCTTTCTACTTCTTATGTTTTAGGGAAACAAACAGGAGAGTCATTTACAGCAATTTATGTAAAATGCTTATTTTTTTTTAATAATAGCACGTAGATTCCAGAGCTGTGAGGATCAAAATGAGATATTTATAAGGCACTTTGCAAACCTTACAATGCTATTATGTTAGCTGTTATTATTTATACCCAATTGTCACACTGCAGTGATTGTTATTTAGGTTATTAAATATTTCAGATCAAGGAAACTTGGGTCCTGAGTGGTAAAGTCATTTGCTGAAAGACACGAGGCTAGTTATTGGAAGAAATTTAAATGCGTAGAAAATTTGCACGTGTAATTCAATTTTACTTGCTTTTTTAATTTAACAAACACTATGTTCCGACTCGATGCAAAGCGCTACTCGGGTAAGGTATTACAGCTGGAGGGGATGAATGTTCTCATGCGGCCCGGTCGTTAGCCCTAAAAAGTAAACTCCAACCTTAGCCCCGCCCCCCGGAGCCCCGACTCTGGGTGAGCCGGCGCGCCGCTTCAGGACAGCAGAGGGCGCTGTCGCAAGCAGGCCGGCAGCTCGCTCCAGCATGGGGGCCCCGCAGCGGTCCGGCTGGTTCGGGTTTGGCTTCCGCGGCTTCGGGCAGGCCCTGGGCTCCGAGCGGGGGCCGCGGAGCAGCCTGCACGGCCCCGAGCCGCTGGTGCTGGAGGACATCGGGGAGGGAGACCCGGAAAAGGCCCAGGCTGCGGTCACTGACGTCCACCAAGTGCGGCCAAGCTGGAGCTTCACCGGCTTCTTGACTCGTGAGCTCCCCGCACCCCTCTCGCTCCTCCTTCCCCTTCTCCCCTCCTTCTCTCCTCTCCTTCCCCCTCCCTCCTCCCTCCTCCCCTCCCCCTGCTCCTCCTTCCCCTCCCCCACCCTCCCTCCGCCCCTCCTCTCCTTCCCCCCCTCCACTTCCCCGTTCCCCCTCTTCCTTTCCTCCTTCTCCTTCCTCCTCGTCTCCTCCCCCTCCTCCTCCTCCTCTCTACTCTTCTTCCCCCTCCTCCCTCTCTTTCCCCCTCCCTCCTACCCCGTTTCCCCTCTCCTCCCCTCCTCCACTTCCTCTTTTCCTCCCACTCCTTTCTCCTTCCCATTCTCGTTCTCCTCTTCTCCCTCCTCCTTTCGCCACTTAGGCTCTTTCCCCTCCCCCTCCTCTTTCCACAGCCCACTACCTTCCTGAGTCTTGCAGCCCCAGAGCTTCCTCCCCATCCGCGTGCTCAGCCCATCTCGGTGCATACCGGTACGCACAGCCCTCCCCCATCCCAGTAGGCCCACCTCCATCTAGGAGCACACAACTCCATCACACACACATCCACACATGTACACACATCCCTGTGGTTCCACTCCATTTTTGGTAGGTGGAAGGCAGCAAGATTTCCCATGCACTTTCACACAGAGATTGGTTGGGAAATTATCTTGTGGACAACTGGTCTCTAATGTGCAAATCCTTAGCTGGACCTGTACTTTGAAGTCATATTTGGTCCCAAAAATATCCATGGAAATACTGATTTGTTGCACTTGTTATGGAGTCAATGCAAATACAAAATAGGTTTTTCGGAAAACAAACAAAACGCTGATTTGTGTGATGCTAGACTGGTAGGTTTTATCAGTTCATCTAGCAAATCATAAAATAGTAATTTCTGAAGTTTTATATCTGGATGGACAGGGTGAAGAATAGATAAAAGATGGGGTAGTTCCAGTTCATATTTAAGTTGTAGGAGGGGAACAGGAAATAATGGTGGTGTTACAGAGTGACCATCATAAGTAAGTTGTGGTAGACGGATCACTGGGGATAGACAAGTCTGCAGGTGTCATAATTTTCTGGGGAAATCTCTGCCTGTAGAGTTCTTTAGTTTTCATTTGTACAGCATGTGGACATATATACCTCATCTCAATGTGCACAACTCCACCCCAGTGTACACGACCCAGAAGGCCCAGTGCAGTGTACTCTCACACCCCACCTCCAGGGTACAACCCCCAGGCGCTAGCCCTAGGTGAGGATGTTTCTTCCTTTCCAGGAGACAGGCGCCTAGTGCTGTCAGGCTCTGTGAACGGCCAGCTCTCTGGCTGCAGGGACGCCATGGCCTCAGAGCAGCATGTGCTGGTGCTGCGTGTGGAGGTGGAGGGAACCCCAGCGGAGGTGCAGGCCTGGGCTGCAGCCTCTGAGCTGCAAGGGGAGCCCCTGTGGACACGGAAGATCCTGCGTCAGGGAGGCCGGAAGAAGGATTCTGGCTCTGGGGACCAGGCTGGAGGTCATGGAGGAAGCCCCCTGGATCCTGCTTTGCTACCCTTAGTTCCCGAGCCAGGGTGGTATGTGAGCCCCAGGCAGCCTTTCTCGCAGCCCCTGGCCCCTGAGCTGAAGGCCCGCCAGCTGGTGCTGGGGGCAGAGCATGCCCTGCTGCTGGACGAAACGGGGCAGGTGTACACGTGGGGCACAGGCAGGTAAGTGGAGGAAATCTGGTCAGGGTGGGGGCCCTGAGCCTGAAATGGGCAGCCCTGAGCAGAGAGCTCTGAAACCCCAGTGCCTACCTCTCTTTGCTCAGACTTGGGCAGCTGGGCCACGGGGCCCTGGAGGCAGAGCTGGAGCCCCGACAGGTGGAGGCGCTTCAGGGCCTAACCATGGCTCAGGTCGCAGCTGGCGGATGGCATTCTCTCTGCGTGAGTGGTGAGCTTCCTCATCCTTGCTCCTGTGGTAGCCTGGGCCCCTTCTCTCAGCCCAGTTACAGATCTCCTTGGGGGTGGTGAGTAAGTGGTAGTAAGCCCTTGGACAGGGCCCTGGAGAAGGGGTGTTGTCCAGGCCTGGCCATCAGCTAAGTGTTTATTAAGTGGCTATCACTGGCCCACTGGCCCACTGTGAGGGATACAAAGATGTTAAGTTGTGGCCTTCTCCTCTCAAGGATTTACTTAGTACTTCCTCCGTACTTGTTAGTGAGTTATAGCCTCATCATACAGGAGGAGGCTACTCCTTCCAACCTGCAGGTTGCAGCTCTTTCCAGCCTTCCCATCCAGTGGGATTCCTATCCCATCCTTATCTATGCCTCTGTCCATGTCTTTGGCAACTAAAGGAGATACAAAACCAACTCACAAGCCAGTCATTTCCATTGAGCACAATCCTCTGCACATATTGACTGCCAGTAAATATTAGTTCAATAAATTAATGAATAATTGTGGAATGCATTAAATGCTAAGTTGTATAGTATCACTACCTTGTCAGCCTTAGGATGCGAGGTAGGTAGAGCACTGGAGGAAGACCTGAGTTCAAATTCAGCCTCAGATACTTAAATAGTTGCACAACCCTAGGTATCCTAACCGCTGTCTGCCTCAGTTTCTTCAATGGTAAAATAGGGTTAATAATAGTACCTATCTCCCAAGGGTGTTGTGAGAGTCAAATGAGATTGTTTTGAAGTGTTTAGCACAGTTCCTGGCACGTAGAAGGTTTAATAAATGCTTTTTAGGTCCTTCTTTACTGCCTGTTCTTGACCCTTGGCTCACTATAAATTTGTGTTACATAATTTCAAGTGGGGCCTAACTGCATCCAGGCAAGCCCTTTATGCCTCCCTAATAGATTTATATCTCACTCACCACAATGGCTATTACAAACTTTTATCCCTCTTCAAGCTTCCCAATGCATCCACCTTCTCTCAGCTGAGGACCTGGCCTCAATGTGAGGCCACTCAATAAGGAGTTATTCTTCTTTCCTCCCTTAGCCCACGTCACTTAGACATCTTGCCCCACTATTTTTTTATGTTTCCCATGACCTATCCAGGTGCACCTTTGATCTCATTTCCTCTGATCTTCTCCAGTAGAGTTCCCCCTGTATCTTCCCCATTCTCTCTCCAATCTTGTTTTTCCCTGACAACCAGCTCCTTCTTTGCTGCCTATAAACTAGCTCTTATCTCTCCCATCCTTAAAAAAAAAAAAAAATCCACAAGTCATTCCCCAATTGATAGTCAAAGGATATGAACAGAGTTTTCAGATGAAGAAATTAAAGCTAAGCTATCTATAATCATATGAAAAAATGCTCTAAATCACTATTGATTAGAGAAATGCAAATCAAAACAACTCTGAGGTACCACATCACACCTATCAGATTGGCCAACATGACAAAACAGGAAAAATGATAAATGTTGGAGAAGATGTGGGAAAATTGGAACATTAATGCATTGTTGGTGGAGTTGTGAACTGATCCAGCCATTTTGGAGAGCCATTTGGAACTGTGCCCAAAGGGCTGTAAAAATATGCATACCCTTTGACCCAGCAGTAGCACTTCTAGGAGTGTATCCCAAAGACATCATACAAATGGGAAAAGGACCCACATGTACAAAAATATTTATAGCAACTCTTTCTGTAGTGGCAAAGAATTGGAAATTGAGGGGATGCCTATCAGTTGGGGAATGGCTGAACAAGTTGTGGTATATGAATGTAATGGAATACTTTCGTGCTATAAGAAATGATGAACAGGTAGATTTTAGAAAAACCTGGAAAGACTTGCATGGACTGATGCTGATCGAATTGAGCTGAACTAGGAGGACATTGTACACAATAACAGCCACGTTCTGTGATGACTAACTTTGATAGACTTAGCTCTTCTCAGCAATGCATGGATCTAAGACATCTCCAGAAGTCTCATGATGGAAATGCTGCTTCCAGAGCAAGAACTGGAATTTGAATGCAGATCGAAGCATACTATTTGCTCTTTTTTTCTTCTTCTGTTTTGTTTTGTTTTTTCTTTCTTGTAGTTCCTCCTATTGGTTCTAATTCTTCTTTACAACATGACTAATGTGAAAATATGTTTAATAGGAATGTATATGTAGAGCTTATATTAGATTGCACTCTATCTTGGGGAGGGGGAAGGAGAGGGAGGGGGAGAAAATTTTAAACTCAAAAGCTTATGGAAGTGGTTTTTGAAAAATAAAAATTAATTAGTTAAAAATTGTTTTAAAAATGTTTTTAAATCCCTCTTGATCCATCCAGCCTTAGTTAACATCCCATTCCTCTTCTGTTAACTCTTCTAAATTCTCTGTAGTTTGACTCTTACTATATTATTCAACTGAAATTTCTCTCTCCAAAGTCATCAATCAGTCTTCATTCTTATTGATCTCTCGGTATCTTCTTTCCTCCATAGTTGTTCATGACACTTCTGCTCAGTTCCGTTTGCTGGGTCTTTCATCAGGCCATATTCACTAGGCAGGCATGTCCCCTAAGGCTCTGTTTTGGGCTTTATCGCCTCTCTTGGTGCTGTCTTGTTGAGCTCATTGGCTCCCATGAATTCAATTACCATCTCTGTGCAGATAATTCTCAGATCTCTATGTCTAGCCCTAGCCTCTCTGTTGGCCTATAGCTTCATATTACCAAAAACCACAATTGCCTTTTGGTCATCTCAAATTGGATGTCCTGTAGGCATCTCAAAATTCAACATGTCCAAAATACAACTCATTATCTTTCCCCCAAACCCTCCCCTCTTTCCAAATTTCCTATTGTTGTTGAGGGTACCACCATCCTTCTAGTCATGGCTTGCAACCTTGGTGTGATCCTCAACTGCTCACTTACATTCAACACATTCATTTTATTGTCAAGTCTTGTTGTTTCTACCTTGGCAGCATACATACTCGCCCCAGCCCTCATCAGCTCACACTTGTACTATTGCATTAGTGTTTTGGTCTGTCCCCACTCTAATCTAGGCTTCACTCAGCTACCAAGGTGATTTGTCCCAACTTTCTCCTAAATTTGTCCTGGTCTAGTCTTGTTTGTCGCCCCTAAACTCCATTGGCTCCTATTACCTCCAGAATCCAATATCAAGTGCTGTTTGGCATTTAGACTTTGGCCAGACTTCACAGTCTGGCTCCTTCCTACCTTTCTGGGCTTCTTACACTTTCCTCCCCTCTGTGGATCCTCTAAGACCCAGCTGCAGTGGCCTCCTGGATGTTCCTCAGACAGGACATGCCATCTCTCAAAACTCTTCTTTATCATTGACTGTCTCCCATGCCTGGAATGCTCTCCTTTCTCACCTCCCCCTCCTGACTTCTGTGGAGACTCAGCCAGAATCCCACCATTTTTAGGAGGCAGTTGGGGTTAAGTGACTTGCCTAGGGTCAGTCACATAGTGAAGGCTTAACAAATGCTTGACTGACTGTTGGCCAACTGATTGCGGCTAGAGCCCACCGCCACCCTGCTAAGAAGTCACACTGTTCCATTTACTTTCTATAAAAATGCTAGCGCTAAGGGGCAGCTAGGTGGCGCAGTGGATAGAGCTCTGGTCTTGGCATCAAGAGGACCTGAGTTCAAGTTCGGCCTTAGACACATAACACTTAACTAGCTGTGTGATCGACCCTAGCAAGTCACTTTACCCTGATTACCTCACCAAAAAGCAAAAAAAAAAAAAAATGCTAGCACTAAAAAGCTTTTTTTTTGTCTCCCCCCCAGAGGCTGGTGATCTCTATATCTGGGGCTGGAATGAATCTGGGCAGCTTGCACTGCCTTCCAGAGCCATAGCAGAAAGAGAGAAGACAGTGGCAGGTGGTAAGAGGTTACATTTTAGTATTTGGCCCCTCTCCCTCTCATTCTGGTCCTCCAAGATGCGTGTCATTATAGCATCCCTAGCCAACCTCTCACTGCAACAAAATTTACACAGCCCCTTTAGGAGCCCTATGCTGCCTTTGCCATTGATCTACTCAGTAAACTGAGAATTGCTTGTTTGTCCCTGAGCTTCTGGGCCCTGCTCATGCAGTCCTGAAGCGAAAATACCAGCCACGGTTGGGGATGGAGATCCTGCTCAGTTCATATCAATTCAGCCTTTCCCAGCATTCCTGGATCTTCCCAGTGGCTCAGAGGTCAGCACGGCCAGTTGTGGATCCCGACACACAGCTGTGGTGACACGTAAGTAAGGCTGGGCCTGGGGTTGGTTGGTGACTGTGGCACTAGCTAGTTTCATCAACCCCAGGCTGAGATAGTAAATGGAGGAAGGTAATCAGCAAAGGCTGATTAGTGGCTGCCAGTAAGGGTAAAGTCCTCTTACAGGACTAAGCCCCTTGTCCAGGCAATTTTCCACCAAAGCAAACAAAGCACCAACCCAGCTCTATACCCAGGCTTGGTCTGTTCACTGTTGGCCAGGGAGAACTCACCTGTTCTATAGTTTCCTGACATCTTGTCCATGTACATGATTCTCAGGTTCTTCGAAGGCGTTAAACTCTTGGCTAACTGTTAAATGTCTTTACAAGGTGTGGCGACTGTCTCACTTTTGTTGTTTCAATTGTAGGAGATGGTGAACTCTATACTTGGGGCTGGGGTAAGTAACCTTACCTGCAGAAAAGTCAGGGGAAGGAGTGTTGGAAGAATTCACGTCTACAAAAAACAAAGGTGAAGGGTGGAAGACCAGTGTTTATTATTGGGGAGGGGGATCTAGGAGGTCCATCACTAAGTCCTCTGGCCCTGAAGACTACATAGTCCCCAGGAGCAGAGGAAAATATTAGAGGAAAGGCAAGGAACTCAGAGCCAGCAGGCACTTCCTTGTGTGTGTCTTCAAGGGACATTAGAGGAAGGCTAGAGAGGTAATCCTTTCAGGAGTGCCACGTAAAACCCTTTGGCTTTTCCCAGGTGTTTTCAAGTACTTCCAACCACTGGAATTGCTGGGGTTTTTAGGTTTCCAGAGTTACCAGTGGTAACCTGAAGTAACTCCTCCTGTTAAGGGACTGCGGCAGGGGTGGGGAGAGGGGGAGTGAGTCATTTCCCCAGAAGTAGCAGGGGCTGTGAGGTTAGTGAGAGGGAATGGCAGAGGGCATTTGTTTTTGTTTACTCCAGGTAAATATGGACAACTTGGTCACAAGAATACGGCCAGTTTGGATCAGCCCCAACGGGTAGACTATTTCGCAGACAATCTGCTCCACGTGGAAGCTGTAATCTGTGGCCCATGGAACACTTATGTGTATGCTGTGGAAGGGAAGAACTGATCATCTAGCCAGCTGGACAAAACCACATTGTAGCTGAAGAATCTGAGTCATTTGTGTGTCACTATGTCTTTTTATAGGTGCAGAAAACAAATTAGGGAAAAAAAGGTGGAAAACCCTTGTCCCTGTTTATATCTGTATTGGTATTGGCAATTATTAGCAAGGCAAGAAACCAACAGGTTGGTTTGGTGCATGCCTAGTTCTAAGTTACCTCTAACCCAACCCTAAAATTTGCTTCGTTAAAAATCCTGAAAACAAACTTTCAGGTAAAATAATTCAGGTCTTTTAAAGTTACCTTTTATCTTTGGCAGCTTTGAAATGCTAATGACAGATATGTATACCTTTTAACTTTAGCATTGAAAAGCTGTTACAGTTCTATACCACCTACCCAGCCATACCTTGGATGGTTTTAGCATTCAAAACCTAAGTCTCTGGTGATGCACCCTTCTACACTTAAAGAGACCAGTTTTCAAAACCTTTACAGCTGTGTAGAACCTGTTGAGGCTGACATTCCTTTCCTTCCAATCACCAGGGGCACTTCCCAGGAGAGTAAGGCCTGAGAGAGGGGGCTCTGTGCAGAAAAAGATGTTAGATACATGGGAGGAAATGAAGATGTTTTGGCTGTCCTTTTGAAGGTTGGAAGAGGGAGGGGGCAACTAGGTGCCACAGTGGATAGAGCACTAGCCCTGAAGTCAGGAGGACCAGAGTTCAAATCCAGCCTCAGACAAAACATCTGACACTTATTAGCTGTGTGACCCTGGGCAAGTCACTTAATCCCAATTGCCAAAAGGAAAAAAAAAATTTGGAAAAGGGTAGAAAGTATTCATGAGAAAACCAAATCAGTTGAGGCTGAAAAAGAAAAAAGACAAACCACAGCCCCCCCCCTTCCCCATTCTTATTTTATAATCAAACAGCTTACTTGTTATGCATCAATATAGGGTCAGTTTTCATCCTAAATGTCAGAATATCAAACTCATGGTGAAGACTTTCTGGGTTCTAGATTAGGAACTGGACTCTAATATTTACTTAGACTTGGGAAGTACAGATATGCTTGGGGTGAGGCGTACTCTCAAAAGGACAAAAACCTCGACACTTTCTACTTTGGAGATGTTTCACATCTTATTTTATTGAAATTTTACTTTTTACTTTCATGTTATAATTCCCAACCTAATAGACCATTTTTCAAGGCATAAGGTAATGTGGTATATTTTTGCCAAGACCAGGGGAAAAAAATGTGGAAAGTCAGCAAGCATGGGACTTGTGATCCTCACCTGTGTTTAGTAGCGATTTCCTTTAGATACCAAGTATGCCCCAAGGGTCCCAGGAAAGTCAGATTACTTGTTTATTGAACTATAAAGTAGATATCTGTGGCACTGCGCCCCCCCCCC